TAACCCTAGGTTAGTGCTAATTGGACTCCCAACAATCAGGACCTGATGTTTACCTTGTATTGTAATCAACAATGGTTCTTTCTGGAATGACAAATGTGTCATAGACTCGCTCCAAATTCCAGTTTATCACAGTGATGCGGGTCAGCTCCAGCCCTGAAGTGGTGTAACACTGAGGATATAACAATGCAGTGACCATACAACATTTAGTCTTGGGAATTGATCAAGGTTCTGTGTCTCTTACAAGTTTTTCCCCTGTATGTTGAACTAATTGAGTTTCCAGTATATAATTTAGATTTCTGTATATAAGTCACCCTTAATTGTTTTGAGATCATTTTGAAAAGTTTTGGTTTTATTACATATCAAAATGTATTTTAATTCAATATTCTTATAACATTTTTCGTATATAAAATGTTTATTCATAACACAACCACATCAGCTGTGCTGTAATTTTAATAGTGATTAACTAAATGCTGTTACTATACTAGTGATATGAAGTATCAATCACTAAATGGTAGATTGTTTTTAAAATAGGGTAGCAAATTGAATTTCAAGGAATATCCCCATGGTATCAATCAAATTAATTTCTATCCATAAGAAGTAAGGAGAAGTTTGCAGTCCACTCAAGCTAAATGACCCATCCAGCTGAGCACATCCCAGTCTCTGCAACATGAGGTGACTACAAGTATTGCTCCCCCAGGATTTTAGTCCATCACAGGTTTCCTCCTTCTCCCTTCCCCCAACCACATTTTATTTGGTTTCCCTAACAGTTTGCCAGTGCCCATTTATACACTGGGTGGAAAGAGAGATTATGACAGTGTGGTATCCTGTGCTAGACCACAACACAATGACCCAGCCAAGACTAGTAACCAGACCTCTTCCACATATCAACCCTTGCACCAACACATTTTCCCTCTCTCACACATACCAATTCCATTTTTTTTTTTTTAAACTTCAATCTGAAAATCCCTCCTTTCATCTGCAAATCAATCTGTCAATCTGTTTCCATAATTCCATTATTCATAAAAATTAAATACATTATACTAAATCTGATAACTATCAAAGTTTGAGTTGACAGAAATCTAAAAGCTATCATGAGATAAGACAAAGGAAATAATGTTACCATTTCACAGTCCATGGAAAATATTTTCTTTCGTTTTTCTACCAGCGGACTCACTATGGTAGTCATAAAGCCTTCTGTGTTATTCACATTGTCACTCACATGAACCTGTCACAAAAATGTGAGATGTTTCCATATCTTTTCAGAGTTAACCCTTTGACTCCTAAGAGGGACTAGCATCTAATTTCTCCTTACAGTATCTTGCCTAAATTGAACATTAAGGTCATGAGAATAAAGAAAATGATCACCAACTAAGGAGGCTACTAATTGTTAAACAACTTCTCCTTGTCAGAACCTTGGAAAATGTATAGAGAAGAGTATGGAGAATATTTACACATACTGGTGTTAGCCAGTAATTATTATAAACAGTGTACTGGGGAGTCCTAAGTTGGGAAAACTAATAGAACAAATACATTTTGCAATGTTCAAAGCTGTTGTTTTGGATTCTAGAGGGGAAAATGGAGAAGGGAAAGAGGAGGTAGATGGGAGAGGTGGTTCAAGATAGGTCAAGGGTGCTTGACTATAATTAACTATCACAACCAGAGTGATTTAGACACTTAATTATGAATAAATATATGAATAAAATTTTGACCCAAAAGAATCTACCTTTCCAACACAGCACCCAGGGCTACCAGCATCTCCTTGACAACAAGAATAATTTGTAATTGGTTCCCCTAAGAGAATAAAATTCAGGTCAGCCGATTAAATATCCCTTGAAAGGTTTTGGCACTAAAGAAGTTTTGTAAATTAAAGCAACTTTGTGCAATTGGTGAAAACTGAATAGTCTTGATACAATTACTTTCTTAACCCTTTAAATCCCAAGATCTGATCATTTAATTCTCACCTCTAGCTGTTACACATTTCCTTGTAAATTAGTTATAAGAATTTGGTGGTGGATCAAGATAACAAGTCCTGCCCGATAAGTTTGAGTATTCTGTCTGTTGGACTCACTACCTCTTTTCTGGATAATTGATGGATATTCTAGGGAGAAGTTACTTTTTCATCAACTTCAAGAATCCTAGTTGATTCTAGATCAACCAATTTGATAAATTCCGCAGTTTTCCACAGGAGGAAAAAAACCTTGCCTAAAAAAACCACATAAAGTTCTCTCTCATAGACAGCTGCATTCTGTACTGCACTTACAAAATAGTTAATTTCTATATTACATATTTGTGTATAAAAAAAAAAACACTAATTGGTTGTCAGTTAACATCACAGTCATACCATTAATGTGCAAACATGAAAAAAATAACCTCTTCTTCGAAATAATTTCCCAGCATGATACACACATTCTTCTCTTGTTAGATACACTCCGTCTTCAAGAACAACAAAAGGCTTGCCACAACGACAGCAAGTCCTACGTGTAGCTAAAATGGAAGATCATTTCAAATCAGCATTGAAAAAAAAAAAAATTTAAAACTCTAACCAACTAAAATTAATTCTGTCAATATTTGATATTTTTCTTTCTTTTTTTCCCTCTTTGCTTAACAATGTGTCTTCATTTGTACAAGGAGAGATTCCTTTTTGGTTATTCCCGGAGGTGAAAGGGTTAAATGGAAAAGCTGGTGCTCATTCCAGTAACATCAACTGACAAAGAAGTTCATCCTAACTTTTACATATTAGTCATAAAACAGTGTTTTATAAATTGAGCTTGGATCAGAAAGGATGTTTAACTGTTTGGTCTATTAATTAAAGTAGCAAGGGCATCAGAAGTAACTAGCCAATGAAAATGCTGGCTGAAGGATCTTCTAGAGAACACTGATCAAAATTAACAACATATTAGATCTATTTTGCTACTGCGCAAAGGAAGGCTCTGAACACTTACAATCTTTAGATGGCTCCTTTTTAGTTTTAAAAATAGCTCTTCCGGGCGCTGTTGGACAGGGACGTGGGTAACCATTCTGCACTAGGTCATCTTCACTCATCAGATACTTAGACAGGAAATCATACATCAACTCCTCTATAACATCAATTAAAAAAAATTATAATAATCAGAAAGGGAAAAGAGGATTGTTAGCCCAGCTGGCTGTTGTAACTAAGTACAAGTAATTTTAAATTTGGTGTCAAAAGGGATCAGGGATTGCACTCACTGTATTTTACTTAGCTCTGTAATTGTTTTAGAAGGCTGTCAACACTGGCCATGCTGTCTTCAGCAGCCCTCCCTTCTCAGTCAGATGTAAATCTATCACTGATCTTGAGTGGGCACTCACTTTTTTACAGGGCTTGGGACAGTTCACAAGTATTCACAAATTAATATTTCTCATTAACTCACAGAGACATTTTATTTTTGTGACTGACTGTCATGATCATGATTCCTTCCATTAAAGAGTTTCACTTCTTTTACTGTCAAACGAAACTGTGTATCTAGATAAACTGGATTGTGGCAAGTTGGCTTTATGAAACAAGAAAGTTTGAGAAGCCATAAAGGGAATAACTGAATAAATCTCAAAACCAAAGAATAAAGAAAATCTAAGACATCAGATCCCACAAACAAAGCTGGGCTGTCCTTGCAGAAAGAAGGTTCTCCTCTCTTAAAATCATAATCAGTTGTAAAGCAAAATATATAAATTACCTGTAAATGGATCTATTTGTGGAACAGCTGGTTGTTGTTTCGCAGGGCTCTTGGTACTAACAACAACTGCCCCTGAAGACAGTGTCTTAGTAACCAACACTTTTGTTGTAGTCTCACTTTTAACAGGAGAAGGTGATTCCAGTTGTGTTATACCTCGAAGTTTCTTGATAGCATTCACACAAAGATTCAAATAAACTTGCCTTCTGGTGCTCCTTTCATACAGAGTTTTTTCTTCTTCAACAGCCTGGGTCAGGGAAAAATTAGCACTTTAAAATACTTAATATCAAGTTTTCTGCAGGGTACAATAATTGTATTGTTGTGCAACTAGACTGGAGTGGCAGAGTTAAATGACAAGTGACTTCCATGTGTTTTTTATGTTTTAATATTCCAACTGCTGCAAAATTTCTCCCCT